GTATGCCAAAAGAAGTATCAATTAGTGAAAAGAATGATTGTGTTGATTGTGTTATTAGTGAACTTGGTCTTGAAGGTTGTGCTAATACACGTGTGGGTACAGAATTTCTTCGAGGTATCTCTGGTGGTGAAAAGAAACGAACTTGTATTGGCATGGAATTAGTTTTATCACCTAAGATCTTGTTTCTTGATGAACCAACAACAGGCAAGACTATTTAAGTCACATATGAATTGTGTCCACTTGCGTTCTTAAAGACAATGGTTGTCTAAGCTGGATTATAATTACCTAAAAAAAGTGTTAGAGCAGCTTTTCGAATCTAAACCTATATCATCCACAAGGCCGGTATTGAAGTTATATCATTAGATTTTTCGTCTCGAAAGGAATAGAATAATAACACATCTAATCAGGAAAAAAATCATGAACTTTTTTATATAGATCAGTTAGACGGTATTTAGTGACTAATCTAGTATAATCATTAATAGAAGAAAGAATCAGTTCGATCTATGATACACTAGTATGAGTTAGAATGAAGAAAGCAGAGAATAGATAGATAGACATTCAAACTTCATTGATCAAATAACAATTAATAAAAGGAAATTTCGCATTTCTAGTATGACTATTTAAGAGAACATTATGTTGCAATCGTAGTTTATTCAGTCCTAATGTATAATGTATGACTGTGTCATTGATAGGACTTGATGCATCAACAGCGAGTAATGTTATGAATTGTCTCAAAGATCTATCTCGACGAGGACGTAAGTGTTATTTTTCAATCATTGCCACTAAAAAGATATAAAAATCATATGTTCTGCTAAATTCTAGGTACAGTAATCTTTTCTATTCATCAACCACGCTCTTCTATCTTTAAAATCTTCGATACAGTTATGTTTATGTGCAAAGGTCGATGTGTTTATCATGGTTCAATTAAAGATGTTATTCCATACTTTGCAAGGCATGGATATCAATGTGAACCATATGAGAATCCAGCTGATTATGTATTAGATGTTTTAATAGATGTTAGTCGAAAGCCAGAAATACTAATAAGATTGAATAATCTATATAATATTACCCATGTAGATCTGTCGGCACTCGTCCATCGACAAGATAGTTCAATCAATCATGAAAATATTGAGCATGAGCGACGAAAATATAAGGTTAAAGCAGCTCGTTCAGTTGGAGCAGAAATCTTTTATTTGTCACAGAGAACATTACGTAATGCTATGCGCAATCCAGCATTAGCATTATCACAAACTCTTGCTTCTATTATTATTGGTTTGTTAGTTGGATTATTGTTCTATGATTTGAAAAAAACGACTGAACCTGGTGTTCAAAATCGACTTGGTGCAATTTTTTTCATTGTAATTAGTCAGATTTTTAGTAACTTGACAGCACTTGAACC